TTGTCTTTTTGTTGTTGAGGTTTTGCAGTATCTTGTAGATTTTAGAGATTAGACACTGATCTGATTTGATGTAGCCAAAATTTTTTTCCCAGTCTGTAGGCTGTCTTTTGACTCTTTTGGTGAAGTCTTTTGATAAGCATTAAGTGTTTGATTTTTAGGAATTCCCAGTTATCTAGTCTCTCTTCTGGTGCTTGTGCATTGTTACTTATGGTTCATATTCTGTTTATGCCATGTACTCGGGCTCCTAGCATTGTCCCTATTTTTTCTTCCATGATCTTTATCATTTTTGATTTTAAATATCTGTGTAACTTTTGACTTGTCAGTTTTTCTACTGGAAATTTGTCCTTAGAAAATAATTAAGGATGGACATAAAGGCTGAGAAGAATATTGACTCTGAACTGATTTTAATAGGAAAGAGTTTGTATAACAACCTCTCAGCAAAGGGGAACATTTAAATAAATCATGGCACATCTAGTTAGAGAAATACTATTTAACCACTGAAATTACTTTGTAGAACTTACACTGACTTGGAAAGATATTTATATTATTAAATGAGTAAGTTACAAAATAGTATGTATGAATCCAGTGTGTTACATATATAAAACATATATATAGTATATCTATGTCCCTCTATATGTATGTACAGGACCCTGATGGCACAGTGATTAAGCACTCACCTGCTAACCAAAATGGTGGGCAGTTCGAACCCACCAGTCGCTCCGAGTGAGAAAGATGCGTCAGTCTGCTTTAGTAAAGATTTACGGCCTTGGAAACCCTGTGGGGGTAGTTCTACTCCATTCTATAGGGTTGCTATGAATCAGAATTCAACTCAACAGCAATATGTTTGGTTTGAATATATGTATGTATACACACAGTCGTCTCATGTACTTTGGATTTGTTATTAGGAGGGACCAGTCCCTGGAGAAGGACATCATCCTTGATAAAAGTAGAGGGTCAGTGAAAAAGAGGAAGCTCCTCAGTGAGATGGATTAACACAGTGGCTGCAACAATAGGCTCAAACATAGCAATGATTGCGAGGATGGTGCAGGACTAGGCAGTGTTTCGTTCTGTTGTACATAAGGTTGCTGTGAGTCGGAACCAACTTGACAGCACCTAACAACACATACATATTCATGAGACATTTTGTAAGAGTACACAGTAAGATTATCAATGGTTATCTTTGAGTAGGTGGCTTTAAATTTACTTAGGTGGTTTTACAAATTTACTGTTTTTCTTTTTTAATATTTTTGCAGTACATGTATTTTTTATGTATTTAAAAAATCTATTGTAAAGTTTATATAACATAAAATTTGCTATTTTAACCATTTAAAGCGTATAATTCAGAGGCATTAATTCTATTCACAATGTTGTGCAACCATCACCACTATTTACTTCCAAAACTCTTTCATCACCCCAAACAGAAACTCTGTGTCCATTAATCAATATCTCCTCCTCCCTTCCTCTAGCCCCTGGTAACCTTGAATCTACTTTCTGTATCTATGGATTTGCTTATTCCATGTATTTCATGTGTCTGGTTTATTTCACTCATCATGATGCTTTCAAGGTTTATCCATGTTGTAGCACATTTTAGAACTTCATTTCTCTTTCTGGCTAAATAATAGTCCATTTTATGTATGTATCTCATTTTGTTTATCCGTTTGTTGATGAACACTTGAGTTGTTTTCTCATATGTATTGTTTTGTAGTGAGAAAGACAGGTATTTAAAAATGTAAAACCTTCAGATGCTGCCTACACTCCTTCATGTAGCAACACTTTCGAGGTTGCTCTCAATGTTTGCTTAAGCCAGTGATTCTCAAAGTGTGGTCCACAGACCAGCAGCTTTAGCAACACCAGGGAACTTACTAGACATGCAAATTCTCAGAACCCACTCCAGACCTACTGAAATCAGCAACCTGAGATAGGGCTGACCAATCTGTGTTTTAATAAGCATTCCAGGTGATTGAACCACTGGTATAAGCTAATAAAACTTACATAGTACCCGGTATTGATCTTCCACATCTTATCTGGAAGAAACAAGGAAAGAACATAAAGAAACTCTGACACAAACCTACAGTATCTGTCTTAGTCAATCTAGTGCTGCTATAATAGAAATACCACAAATGGATGGCTTCAACAAACAGAAATTTATTTTGTCACAGTTTAGGGGGCCAGAAGTCTGAATTCAGGGCACCTGCTCTTAGGGGAAGGCTATCTCTCTCTGTTGGCTCTAGAGGAAGGTCCTTGTCTCTTTGAGCTTCTGCTCCTGGGCGATCTTCATGTGGCTTGGCATCTCTCTTTCCCCATCTCTGATTGGTAGCTTGCTTGTTTTAATCTCCTTTATACCTCAAAAGAGACTGACTCAAAACACACCCTACCCTAATCCTGTCTCATTAATATAACAAAGACAACCCATCCCCAAATGCAATGATAACCATAGGCATACAGGCCAGGAATTACAACACGTATTTTTAGAGGGGCACAATTCAATCCACAGGAGTATCCAATGTAAACTGGTCCCTGTAACAGTATCCATGGGAGGCTTGTCTGTTTAATCTGTGGGCATCTTCATCCTTTCCTCCTGCTGACTACCACCTTTAGCAAAAATGTCAAGCCTTTGTATCCACTGGAGTGTGAATTGCTGGTTTGGCTTCTGAGGGGCACTTGTACTACTTCTATTGCCTATTACTGCAATAATCGCAGTATTCTTTTCATCTGATATAGGCAGGTGAAAGAACAAGAAAATTCCTGGGTAGATCTGTGTCCAAAATAAATTCATGACTTAGTCTCCACTACAACATGGTGAGTCCCTTGAGGGCAGAGGCCAGAGCTGTTTCTTCCCTACCTCATAAACAAACCAACATGTTGCTATCTAGTTGACTCTGACTCATGCCAACCCCATGTGTGTCAGAGTAGTACTGTGCTCCATGGGGTTTTCAATGGCTGATCTTTTTGGAAGCAGATTGCCAAGCCCTTCTTCTGCGTTACCTCTACGCGGACTTGAAATGCCAACCTTTTGGTTAGCAGCCGAGTGTCATAACCATTTGCACCACCAAGGTACTCAAACAGATTTGTTGAATAAATGAATGAGCCAACACAGAGAAACAAAATGTTAGAGTTCTGTCCTATTCTTATCTGATGCTTTTTCTTGTATTCAAAGACAGCATCTCAGCTCTCAACAGGTAGAGTAACAATTTAGAAAAGCATCAATTTTGCTAGCAACACTCATTTTAGCCCAAAATCTTTAAGCAAGTACTGTCTAAGCACATCCCTGGCTGAGTTATGTTCTACCTCCTTAGGATGTAACGCATCTCATATAACTGACTGACTGAAGGTGACTGTGATGAAGTGAACTCACTATTTCAAGCTTAGGTCTCCTCAGTACTAGCCTCCATGACCAGGCAGGAGACAGAAACAAGTCGTTTGTTCTCTTTAGCTGCATTAGGCCCCTTAGGTAGTGGGTTTGAATGCAGGCTCTATGCTTTATCAGTCCCCATTATTTCAGTATGGTAAGTGAGAGTTTATTGAAGAGCTCGGCTGCTAACCAAAAGGTCAGCAATTCGAATCCACCAGCCACTCCTTGGAAATCCTATGGGGCAGTTCTACTCTGTCCTATAGGGTTGCCAGAGTCGGAATCAACTCGACGGCAACAGGTTTGGTTTTTTTTTTTTTTACTATTGGTGGCGCAGTGGTTAAGTGCTTGGCCACTAACCAAAAGGCTGGTGGTTCAAACCTACCCAGTTGCTCTGTGGGACAAAGACCTGGTGATCTGCTTCTGTAAAGATTACAGCCAAGAAAACCCTATGGGGCAGTTCTGTTCTGTCACATGGAGTCGCTATGAGTCCAAATCGACTTGATGGCATCCAACAGCACTACCACTATGGGTAATGCATACGTGGTCTCATTAGTAACAGTCAGCAAGGACTGAAGGGGCAGGGCCAGGAACATAGCCGATGACTACAAAAATGGAAGGCTATTTAGAAATCATTTATTTGAGTTGAGCACCTGGCACCAAACAATGTAATTACTTGATTGATACAGAAAGGCAAAATGTTCCTGAGGGTAGAGAATGCCACAGAAGAAACAAATATCCTCGTTCAATTCAAATAACTACACACACACACACACACACACACACACACACACACACACACACACACACACACACACACACACAC